CCCGACGGAGAAGGTCGCGCTACCGTCGCTGGATCGTCGCTGGAACGTCGCCCGAAAGTCGCGCTATCCCGGCCGTGCAGATCCGCTGCAAAAGGTATGTCGCTATATGTGAACGGGGTTTAAATGGTGCATATATTGGGGGAAATGGGTGTGGTTACGGGGGCGTGGCCACTAAAGGGTGTGGCCACTGAGGGGCGCTGTAAAGCTTTCTCGCACAGGGCGCCTAAAGGCCTAAGGCCGGCCCTGGATACAATGTAAGTATTCTAAAGAAAGCTGGAGGGAATTAGCAAGTGAATGTAACCATTGCTACTAATGCCCCTAATATTTGAAGAACAGCGCCATCTAGTGGCCATAGTGTGGTATTTCCCCCATTCACTCTATGTTCTTCATGAATGAACCTACTTTTATCCCCGCCCATAATATTTGAAGAAATATTAATAATAATAATAATAATAACCAGAACAGAAAATACACTAAAAACATTCGATTGCGCCCCATTATCACATCAGCTGGTTAATCTGCACAGAACCAATGTACATGCAGTTTTGCTGGACGAATAAGCTACGCAATTTTAAAAATAAAATAAATAAAAAGACCTCACAGTAAAGCCGCACTAAATTGCCGCAATGGGCACATTTAAAACACTGGGAGGAGCCCCATGTGTCTGTACTGAAGAGCTCACTAGATGCAACACAAGCATCACTTTTGCCTATATGTGGCTTGACCCTCAGACCGCGGTCTCCACTCAGGTACAGTATGTGGCATGATGAGTCACATATCACCTCGGTCAGTCAATTAGAAATCTGCGTCCAGTGTGAAGACATTGTCCTGTGTATGTGACATCACTGCGAATCGCTGGTATTCCGACACACGCTTCTCAAAGAAGTTGGTTTTCCCTTCCAGAGAAATGTTCTCCATGAAATCAAATGGATTTTCGGCTTCAAATACCTAAAAGGGATAAAGAAAATCCTTCGACCTATCATTAAAGTATGTACGTCATATAAAGGGTGCGTCCCAGCATGACTGAATCACAAGAATATTTCCAGAACAAATGTACCTTCCTCTGCCTATGTGATGAAGCCTAGGCAGCCTAGATCACATGGTCTCTTGCTAACACGGAATTGTGGGCGTTTCGTGTCATTAGAGATTACAGCGAGTCTATTATTTTCAATTCAACAGAGCAATAAGATGATCAGCAAAGCACAATCACTGTGCAGCACTACTTAGCAGGAAGTAGGGCTTGAAGATGTAATAAATAAGCATGACCCCCCCCATACAGATCCCTCTTGATCCCTCTTGCAGCACGCCTGGAAAGCTAGGTCCCAACATCAAGCCCCTGAGGTCCTCCAGGTATATAAGAATCAGAGATGATTGAAGTGATTTTGGTGATCCCAGCTTTGGCCCAGATTGGCCCAATTTCCACCATATTTGCAAATGTTTAGTAGGTAGTGATAGAGAAAGCTTACTTGTTCTTGGTAATTATTTCTAGTGCTGTTTACAATTGTCCCTTTTCTTGCAGTAAAATGCATCTATATTGCTGCATAAAAGGGCAATGCATGGAGGCGGGACGGCTACTTTACATGTCTGATCTACAACTCTCATCTACTGATGAGCTTGGGCTTGGTGTGAAGCCAGTTTGCCTGAGTTCACCCAAGCTCCCTCAAATTGTGACCTACACACCCCTTCCTGGCCCAATCAATGACAGCAGGTGCATTCACTGCCCTACAGCTATACGTTACAAAGGGCCAGGGAATGCGTCCGCCACAACTGCCGCCACCGAGTGGGCCGAGAGGGAGGCGATAAAGGGTGAAAACAACTATTTTATTCAAAATGTTTATGATACACAGTGCTTTAGCAAACTAAATGTCATTCAGTTAGAGAGTTTAAATAATACGTTTTTTCTGGACGGGTAGAATACAACTGCATTTCCTTAGCCCTGGTTCACGCCAGATGCCTGAAAAGATACAGGAGCTGCTTTGGGCAGTTTACCTCCCTGGCGGTCTGATTTTTCCCAATTATGTTTTGCTTTTTTTTTGTCTATTATTTTGTTTTAGTTTTTTTAATTTCCCGCTGGTTCCGCCCCCCTGCGACGCGGCTGCTCGCAAGGGACGGAACCCGGCTGGAGGACACCGCGCGGCTCGTAGGGAGAAGGTAAGTGAAGCGCTGTGTAATCCCAAGTATGGCTCGGGGGTACCGCTTTTGGTACTGAAAATTAACCCCGAGCCACACTCGGGAATACCGCCAAGAAGGTTCAAGCGCTTTTCCTCCCCATAGACTTCATTGGAAATGCCCACGCGCAACAGAAGCATGTTGCATTTTCATTTGCACTATGCCGCCCAGAAGGGACCCTGCGTGGCCCCGAAACGTTGGCTGTTTGACGCATTTATTGAATAAAAAGTGCTTTACTTCTTGCACACATCATCGAGTGCTGGTGACTTCTATTACTTCAAGCACCAACCTTTCATCCAAGGTTTGTACACTGTATGGAGTGCATGTGATTTCGTATGATTTGTGCGTGCGTTCTTCCATTGCCCACAATGGTTTATGAGCTGCCAATCAAAACGCGTGTCTTCATGTACGTGCGTTAAAACGCGCATACAAATGTGCATAACGTGCAAATAACCGCATGCTGCTAACGCACATATAAACAAGCAAAAACGGTGCTGCCAAGGTGTGAACCAGGGTTAATGTCCAAAGATGAGACTTGAGCTGCCTTGAAAGCTTGCAGCTGTAATCTACTCAATTAGACAACCATAGGTGGGTATGTTCAGATACCAGTGCCCATCATTGGTATTTTCATGAGAACTACCAGGGTTGCAGCGGTTGCAGCTGGGACCTGGCTCTGGCGCTCCTCCACTGTCCTGAAATCATTAGTCTGTATTGTTTCAGAAAAACTGTCACATGACAATATACAAAAATGTATCAGTACTTGTACTTGCAAAAACTGGTATCGGTGCATCACTTATATATATCTATAAAAACAAAATCATACATTAAAACAGAGATGTACTAATCCCAGGAGCTCCGTGTGCTCCTTACAAATGACAGCTGCCTCCTAATTTTTGAGTTTTTCTCTAGTCTAGTCTTGGAGCTGGAAAAGTATCTGTACATGTACTGAGTACGGTACTTGGTACATGGTGCATCCCTAACCATAGGTATCCTTTAAGGCTGCGATCCCTGTTACTTACCTTTGAAAAGCCAAGTTCAACCAGCAGGCGATCTGCTACAAATTCAATGTACAACTTCATTAGTTTGCAGTTGATCCCTATGAGATCCACTGGTAAGGCTTCTGATAAAAACTCCTGTACAGAGAGAGGACATGGTCAGAGTCACAAACTCAGCAAAGCATTTACAGCAAAAACACCCCAAAGCTTTTTGGATAGAGGAGGGAAGGGTTGTGAACTCTCTACTGCCGAGTGTGTCCCTCCTCATTTGGGAGATTTCTGGACAACAGGGTGTCACAGAGGCAGGGAGTGATGGGAAAGCTCTTCAATGGGGACAAAGACACCAAGCGCAATGAAAACTAGCTAGAGGTTCTAACTCCCCTTTAACTTCTCCACATAAACACACAGGAGGGAATTTATCAAAACTGGAGCAGACAGAATCTGGATAAATTCCCCCTCACACAGGTCTGTACTACACCATTTCTGGCTGCAATGCATTTTAGTACATTCAACACATGTCCATCTGTAAGGTGCGCTGGGGTGCTATTCAAAGTGAATGGCATTGCATTGCATCAATGCAAGTGTTCCTGCAATGCAATTGTGTGAACCAAGCCTTAGATAAATGACAGAAACCAATAGGGACCACTCAGTGATTGTCAGAGTGATGAATGCTAACATTGTATTTCTACATTATGTAGACTTCTTCATTACTCAATAAGAACTGGGAGGGCTAATTAGACTCCTTTATACAACAGAGCAAGTGAGCCGGGGCACACGACAGCTCTGAACTCCTGACATGATCAATAGGTGTTTTTTTTGCACTTATCGAACAGATATAACAAAACACTTTAAATGGTATATTTAAAGTATAAGTGCACTTTTTGTCCCCCTCACCTGACCTAAACTATCCCACCCTCGCCCCTTTGCAGATCTATGCTTACTGAGATCCAAGGGCTGCTTCATTGTTTGTTAACATCCAGCACCTAAAAGTTTCCCTCTCCTGGATGCGTCCATCTCCGAGCTAGTGTTAGGAAGTCACCTGCACTCCATACAGCGTACAGACCTTCAGTTTCTCAATTGTCGGTGCTAGAAGTGATAACACGGATGGCGCTGTGTCAAGATACAATTGGGTTTATTGCCGCATGTGACAAGTAAATAAAAGTGCTTATGCTTCATGCACGAAAGCGAGTGCTGGTGACTTCCATTATCATCTCCCAGCTAGGAGACAGTCCCATAGAAGTCCATGGGGCTGTAATGTGCAGTGCGGCCAGCAGAGGGAGCATGGCAGATAATGTACACAATAGCGGAACTATGCTTGTCGGATCGCGGTAAGTACAGTTCTAAGAAGGGGGGAGGGTGGGAACCTTTAGGTAAGAGGTGGGGGACAGAAAGGATAAGTGCACTTTGTTGTTCCTTTAACAGACAAAAAGGAGCAAATAGGAGAAGCTCATTGTTAGTGATTACATACAATTTAAATAATGTAAATGACCGCCCATCTACTAAAATAATTTTTCTGCCAGTCACTCCAAATGATACCTGTTCTATCCCGACAGCGCTGACTACAATCTCGGTGACCCTTTGCTGTGATGGTTTGTTCACCAAATAATTAAACATCAGACAGGCAAAATCACAGTGTAGACCCTGCAGAGAGCAGACAAAAAGAGTTACACCGACTATACAAGTAAAACAGGAACTTTATCAAAATATCTGTTCATTACATGTCTGTGTCACCCCACACCAATCAATCAGAATGTGAAGGTCCTCATTCATCCAGGTCATGGTATATCTGTAAAAAATAAATCAAGGAAACTGGGCTTGATTTTTCTTGAGATGTTTCGCTGGAAAGCTAGTCGGATGACCAGCGAAACATCTTCAAGAAAAATACAGCAAGTCCAGTTGCCTTGATTTTTTTTTTACAGATAAATTAATCAGAATCTTTCGCCATGAATGAGGAGAATGGAAATAAGAATCTTATTGGTTGTTATAAGCAATAAAGATTGAGACAATTATTTCCTTGGAGACATTGATAAATGTGGCCCATCGAGAGGCAGTTTTATAGGTAAACCCAGAAGCACAATTTGTCAACCAGATATCTAATAAAGATTTCTAAAAAAGAAGTGCCTTAGAGAAGAAGCTTTGGGGAACCGGTTCCAGTGCATGAAGGAAGTCTGTGAAGGAAGAGCAAGGGATAAGGTACCTATTACACCTTCTTCCTCCACCCCTAGACTTAACCAGCTGTTGTGAGACTGTAGTGAAAGGGAAAATACCGCATTATGTCCACTAGATGGAGCTGAGGATCATAGCAAGTAAATATGTGAATAACGAGATACAATTCCAGAGAGTGCTGGAGAGAATGAGAATATAAATGTAACCATTGCTATCCCTGTAGTATCAGACACAACCCCAGGACAGTCTACAGAAATGAAGTTACCTCGTCTCGGCTGATGAGCTCATTGGAGAAGGTGAGACCGGGCATCAGACCTCTCTTCTTCAACCAGAAAACAGCAGCAAAGGAGCCAGAAAAGAAGATTCCTTCTACCGCGGCAAACGCCACCACTCGTTCTCCTGTTATCAACACATCACAGCAAATCATTCTACATGCCAAGTACAGGATCTATTCTCTTTAAAGAGACCCTGTCACCAGACCAAACATTTCAACAAAATTCTTCCTGGGAGACTCTCTGTGCATTTATTGTATTTTATGACCTGTAAAATTGTTTAAATCGGTGATGGGGGTCCCTTTAAGATAGGTAAGGGCCATATAAAAGGTTTGGAAGATTAGTTTTTTATCCCCAGGACTATCAAGGAGACTGAACTCGTGTGCAGGAAAAGAGATTATACAACCAGCATAGGAAGGGATTCTTTACAGTATGGGCGATCAAGCCTTGGAAAATCCTGCCATGGTAGATACTAAGAACAAACTCAAAAAAGGATTGCCAAAAGATTTAGGTGATTTTCTTACAATTTGGGTAAAGTTTTATTAGTTTTGGATAGAGTGGTGGGTATTAGAACCCCTGTTAGCTTTGTATTGCTGTCTGTGCCCTTGTTAGGGAGATTCACTCTAATTGTCCTGATCAACAATGTCACCAAGAATGGAAGGGAGGGATAAATCCACAATTTTGGGTTGCCATCGGAACAAGAAATCCCCGGTCAGGGACACTTGTTGCTGTGACAACGGTCTAAGAGGGGATGTCACATTGGAAATATATCCCCTCACTTCCTGTTAAGTCTACAGGTCAGGAAGTGAAATCTCCCTAATGAGACAAAGATGACAGAGAAAAGCTTACAGCGGTGTTAAACCTCCCCCACTCTATCCAAAATAAATAAGACAAGTGTGGACTTTAATGGTATCCAAAAGGTACAAAGTTTAAAAGAAGAGTACAATAATGTTTTTCGTCAGTGATCTACTCTTACTGCTTTGTGTGGTCAGGAAGTATTCTTTTACCTTCAAGGGGACACATTGGCCTTAGTTTCCCAAAGGTCTGTTTTCCCTTCCAGGAGACTAGAGCTGCTGGAGTTTGTACAAGTTTGAACTCGATGGTCTTGTGTCTCCTTTTTTTTAATCCTAAATAACTACTAAGGAGGCTGACCAATCACCTGACAATCGGGACACATTCTTATTTACAGAACAATCTTACAATATGTATGAGCAATTCTTTCAGACATAAGATGTCTGCCACATTTTTCACCGATTCAGGTCTGCAATAAGTATATAAACAGCACTTCTGAGGCAGTTATACGAAGATCATGGCTGCTGCGGGTCTGTGCACATCGATGAGAGGGAAATCAGCACACTTCCAGCGGCTTATCTACTCTCAGATCACTGGACCTGAAAGTGATGTGTATTACATCACTTCCAGTTTCAGACAGTTATTTCTCTGGCTGCTGTGGCTGGAGAAGAAGCTGATAAAGCACAATCACTGCTTTATCAGTTTCTTTGGGGTCTATATTAGGGGTCTCCTTAAAGAGCACCTGTCACATCATCTTTGCTGTCACATAGGGGGCTAACAAGCTTTCCATGTGATAGAAAGTTAAGTGTAAGAAAATAAAAAAAGCTTAAAAAATTAGTCACAAATAAAAAAAATAAAATAAACCAGTTTCCCCCACATACACACACATACAAGTGTGAAAATGATGATTGCGCCACACATGTTGCATATCAACGTGAACTGCGGAGTGAGGGCAGTAATTCCAGGGCCATCAATCACTGCTACTACTAAAGTGATGAGCAGTGAAAATTTTCAAGTGTCGCTTATGGGCAATGTTAGGTAGTTTTTTGCAATTTCACGGGCGCATGCAATTTTAACGCTTGAAATGTTTGGTGTCTATTTACCTGACATGCGAAAAGATGGACACCAGCACTCCAAGGCACATCCAGTACGCCTATTTATTCACGTACTTGTTGCATAGTCAAACACTAAGTACAACGTTTCGGGGTCTCACAGGATTCCCTTCATCTGGCAAACGTGAATAAATAGACGTACTGGATTTGCCTTTGAGTGTCCATATTTGTGCTTGTATACTTTGACGGGAGCCACCCGGTGCACCCACCTCTTATCTGATGGAGCAGCGGTTCTGCGTGCGATGGGTATACAGGCTGTGTTTACCCGACATGACCCCATCTTTTATATTTTACCAAAAAATTATATTCTGTTTCTGTGCATTACATTTAATTTTAGTGTATTTTATCCTAAAAATACTGGCTAAATAAAAAAATATTGTGCGACATAAAAAATGACAACTAGAATGTTTTTATTCTGCAAGGCCTCTGCTTTCAAAAAATATATAATTGTTTGGAAGTTTTAAGCTGTTTTCTAGCCACAAATTCAGATTTTATCATGTGTGCGCAAATAGTAAGAAATTGCTCCGGACGGCAGGTGGTTGTATTGGTATTTGTCCATATGATGGCTACAGGAAATATGACATCATGTGTCTGATCAATGCACAGCTAGTACATACCAAACGTAGCTTCCCTGTCTGATATCCAGCGCAAGGCCCACTCTGCTTTCTTTCTGACACAGGGCATTGTTTCAATGGCGTTAAATAAGAAATCCCTAAAAGAAAGAACAATTATTAAATTATTATTATTAAACAGGATTTATATAGCGCCAACAGTTTGTGCAGCGCTTTACAATATAAGGAAGACATTACAGTCACAATACAATACAAGACAAGATGGTAAGGAGGGCCCTGCCCGCGAGGGCTTACAATCTAAAAAAAGTATTTCAACACTAATTCCAGTGAACACGTTTCTTCTTTTAGTTCTGGATACAGTAAACAAGTGTTAAAACCCTCCATCAGGATTTTATTGCTGTGCCCCCAATGGGGAAGCTTACACTGACTTCCTGTTGTGTCATTAGGACAAGAAGTGAAGGGGAATCTCCCCAACAGGGTCGCAAACATTTGACACAGCTTCTAAGCCAGAGGCAGGCAACCTCGACACTCCAGTTGTTTTGGAACTACAAGTCCCATGAGGCATTGCAAGACTCTGACTGCCACAGGCATGACTCCCAGAGGAAGAGGCATGATGGTATTTGCAGTTTTAGCACAGCTGGAGTGCCAAGGTTGCCTACTTGTTTCAAGCCTTCCCCATTCTTTCTGTAACTAAAAAAAAAATCAACAATTTGTTATGTCTGTCAGCACTCCGGCAGCGATAGTTTTAAACGTGACTTCCTTCGCTGACACGGCTGCTACAACCACTAGGGTCCCCTCTGCTCTATTCATGGTTTATGTGCATTACAAAGAATGCAGCAAACACATTTGATTTAGCACGAAGACTGCTGGGTTGGAAGGAACACAGCCAGGAACTATAGCGGTACACCTTACTGCTCGAGTCCCCAAGAGATATAAAACCATCAGTTTGTGACTCTGCCCACCAGACTCCATCTATAACAGAAATATCACTTAAGTTGGATACTGGTAATTATTAATACAGACAGAACTCCTATTTCACCATTCAAGCCACGAAACCCCTGACATCTCCAGAACCCCCCCTGGTTGAGAGGCCAGAATATACCAAGCCAGAGCACTGATGTGAATTGAACCCATAGGACATAATGCAAATTACCTTGTCTATGAATAGGGATTACTGTGGGTATGCCCTATGCATATGGTGTGACCGGGTACTAAGTGACAGTCATACCTTCAGCCAGTCATCCCTACCTCCTGTGTGGATCTTTAATGTAAGTCTGAATAAGCAGGCTGTACATTTCTGAATGAACATTCTCAATAAGAATCTGGAAGCCATAAAAGCAGCGAGCTTCTGGGATCTGTACCTCCTGGCTGAATCGCTCCACCTAAAGGGGAAACACAGGCTATCATGTCAGCTGTGACATCAATAGGAAAGATCAGACAGACTACAAGGGAGGGTCAGAACACATATATGTATAGACATACCAGATTCTCATTCACTATGCCATCGCTGGCTGCAAAGAACGCTAATATATGGGAAATAAAATACTTCTCATCCGCCTTCAGCTTCTCCCAGTGCACCAAGTCTTTAGATAAATCCACCTGTTACACAGAAGACAATTGCTGTTATTTCACATCTGCATTACGGCGGCACCAGTTGTTTTCTGCCTGTCTGTGGCTTGCAGGGCCGGTAGCGGCAGTTGATCTGCTTCGTGCAGGTGCATTGCTCACAATATAAAACCACAGACTATGAGATTGTCCTGTTTTACCAGCTGAGAAATGATTTCAATGCAGAGCCGCATATTTCACACACAACCAAATCAGTGAACCAAAGAAACCAGGAGCTGCCTTAGTTCTGGTACATGCCTTTCATAAAGTGACACCAAACTCAGGAGTTAGAACAGTAAAATACATTCAAGGACCTTAACTAGTAACAAAAATGTATCTTATTTGTGTATCACTCGGCTGTAGATCCTCAAATCATCTCTGAGTTGGGTGGAGAGTGGCTACTTTTGTTCCGAATGGTCCCTGTGTGTTGTAAAGTAGTCACCGATCCAAGCTCACTCCCGTGATGGACTACAATGTCAATACAAATTAGTAAACTAAACCTGAGATTGTACTCCCATCACAGGAGTGATCTCATAGCTATACGATGTGACAATTCTTTTGTCAATAAAGAACATTGACTGAAATTCCTATTGGAGTGTGAGTGACTTTTCTACTACATGATACTGATCTTCAGAGGCATCTGCTCTCATCTCAGCACCCACCCATTATCTTGGGTTATACCCGGTCAGGAGTGCGATAAGATCTACTTGAATTACTTTAAAAGGTAAGTCCCGTTACCTCTGTGCTATGTGTGATGACAGGTGACTGGCAGGACTAGCACTAGATATGCACCGCAGACCTGATAGACAGTCCAACAGTCAACTGAAGGAGTGTACATGGCAGGCTGACAACGCTGCTGCTAACTCTGAGGAAGTGGCTTAGCGTTGTCAGCCTGAAACTGAAAATGCTGTTACTGGCAGGATGTCCAGGTAAGAAACAGATCCACCAAAAATGAATTACTCAAGAAAACTGTATACAGTAATGTATAGACATGATTCTAAATATACCGAAAACAGATTTTGGGTTTACATACACTTTGAAATGCAACTGAAGCCAAAACCTTTCTTTAGTGTTGGATGGAGTGGAGAAGGATTAGACCACCTGTCAGGTTTTTATTGCTGTCTGTGTCCCCGTCTGAGATTCACCCCCTCTATTTGTCTGGTGACCGTTATCACTGAAAGTGAAAGAAAATCCAAAATTTTGGATTGTCACCTGAAAAGGGATAGATAGGAAATATTCCAATAGGGACACTGGTTCTGGTGAGCCTGCTGACCACCAGGGATTTCGCTCTCTTTGGAGGGATTTCCTTTCACTTCTTAATATCAGTGACAAGCCCTGGCTGACCTCCGTAGCTGCATACAATGTCTAGCAATTCATCCTTAAAGTTCACAGCAGAAGCACTGAAAGCTGAGTGGAGCAATTCATTCAGAAAGTATAAAACTGAGGCACTGAGGACAGGTTCTGCTAAAGCTGCTGGGAAACTGACTAGAACCAGACTACAGTGCCTCTGTTATTAACTTCAAAGATGAATTGCTCCACAGTGCCTGCCGCTACAGAGGTCAATGAGGTCTTGCTTTAAAACAAAGTTAATGCTTGTTCCCAATATGTAAATATTTTAATGTCCAAAGCCTGGCCATAGGTTCCCTTTAAAGCTCATTTACTAAATATGTAAATAACTGAATGCCTATAGATTTGTTCACTTTAAGACAACCCTTCCCCAATACCAATAGCAACTACTTTTATTTATTCTTTTAAAAGTGTAATAAAAAATAAAAGGTGAAGTCTGTTTGGATATCAAGCACAGCACATTATTCTTTGTCTTATTAAAGTTAATTTCCAGTTTACATAACATTTCCCATATGTTCCTCATCCCTCCATGTTCGCATTACTTGGTGCACCAAGATCCAATGTCAGCTGTCATAATGTGCTCCCAAAAGATTCTATGTGATTGGAGGAGCTGTAATAATGGAACTTGCCAGCAGGAAGCTGATATCTAGAGTAATAACTCCTAGTCCCAATGAACCCAAAGCTATGTGATAGTGACCATTGATTGTTAGTACATGCATGGTTCAGAAGCCGGTTGGGAATGCCATATGAAACAGAAATAATTGGACGACCAACGATCACTTACCTCCTCTACAGTCCAGAATGAGGCTTGTGCCTTCTTATACATCTTCCAAATGTCAGGGTACTGTATTGGAAACAGGACAAAACGCCGGGAATTTTTCCTAAGAAGGGGCTCATCTTCAAGGCTGTTTCCGTTACTTTCACTGTGGCCATTAAACCCATTCTGCAAAGTACATGAAAGAGAAGATTAACATCCTATATCTTACCAAATGACACCACTGTACCCGAGACATACACTGCTGATTTAAAGTAGCACTCCAGACAGATATAAAAACACCATTTAATTATTATGCATCCGTTAAACAATGATTACATTTATCTGTACATATAACTGTAAATAGTAACTACAGCACTTACAGGAAGGTAGACCTTATCAGTCTACTGCTACTCTTTCATTGTCCAATCACAGGCTGGAATGGGTTAACGACCAAGATGTATTGCTTAACTGCAGTGAGCAAAAGTGTGGTCACCAGTCTAGCTGGGTTGTGTGGCAGGGATGTCTAGATTACAGGAGCAGCTTAACAGAATTACAAATGTTTTGGCAGATAAGACATATATATATATATATATATACTCTATATTTCGCTGTATTTTAGCTTTAACAAGTAAAAGAGAAAATAAGCATAGTGTACATGTTATATACTGAGCTCAAATCATCTAATTCACAGCTTGGATTCCCTATCAGCTCTCACCCATTTTCCTGTATTAGGACAATTTGTTATGCAGCAAATCTCTAACACTGATGTAGATGGAGGTGTAGGCCACTGACAAAGTAAGTCACTCGATCAGTAGCCTGGAATGCATAGGCCACTGACAAAGCAAGTCACTCCATCAGTAGACTGGAATGCATAGGCCACTTACAATGCCAGTCAGTTTATCAGTAGCCTGAAATGCATAGGCCACTGACAAAGCAAGCCACTCCATCAGTAGCCTGAAATGCATAGGCCACTGACAAAGCAAGTCACTCCATCAGTAGCCTGAAATGCATAGGCCACTGACAAAGCAAGTCACTTGATCAGTAGCCTGAAATGCATAGGCCACTGACAAAGCAAGTCACTCCATCAGTAGTCTGCAATGTATAGGCCACTGACGAAGCATGTAACAATAGCGATTTGATAAAGCAGGGGGCATGAAGATGCAGAAGCATGGCACCACACCCCTGATTAATTAGACCACAAGAAATATAAAAAACAACTTGGGGTTTTCCAGGTGCCAAGAACTAAATGACAATATGTATCTAAAATTCCATTTTTTTTATTGATATGAATATACATTAAAATGTAAAATTGCCATGTGTCCATTTTATTTGTTGCGCTCAAATATATAGTAATGACATACACAGTTGACTGCATCAATATAACAAATAATGTACTTAATTGTACAGATTCAATGCATTTGTGGTATCACTTCCTCAAGAATCCTGACAGTTCATGGCTCTTAGATCATCCAAGCAGAGGGATGGGAGAGGAGGTATAGTAAGGTAAAGGTTGAGCAGGAGAGCGGGTAACAGTACGCACAGTGTTCCAGTAGGGGCTTTCCGGGGAGATCAAATATACAGGAACCCACTTTGTATCCAGTGTCCGAGTACAGATTCCCAGAGTAGGATTTCAGCCGTTTAGACAGTTCAGAATTACCATTTAGTTGTTTGACTACAACTTCCTCACTCCCAGAGTGTTCATCAAATGGGTGTCCTCTTATTGTGTTGTATGTAGGTCCTGTCAGCAATGGAGTCCACAAGCATCCACCTCCCCCCAGCTGGGATCTGAGACCTGAGGATCTGACCGAGTACTCCTTTAGGACCCGGGAGTAACATTCAAGGAGACCAGTTGACCTCTGTTTGAGGCTCAGTCAAGACGCTTCTGTGGTCTGAGCCACCCAGAAAGATCTTGTTATGAGTGTACTATCCTTCACTGTAATGTACTAACAGAATTTGTGGCTTTAGATAGAAAATGTAGCGTTATTGATTATTGTGTTGTTGTTTTCTCCTTCATTGGATGGGCTGATGTGACCAGTTACTGATTCAATTGTAATAATTTACCTCATCATCATTGCTGTAGGGATAGTAGGAGTAGTTTATCTGCTCTGTGTGGTTTTGCCAGAAATCTGAATATCGGGTGGAGTCCACAGAGGGGATTGCATTGGAGGACAATCCTAGCGGTGGCTAGTATACAGTTATGTAAATGGGACCTTTCACTGTGAAGTGCCTTGCTTAGTAGCAGATATGGAAGAGGTTGACCCTGGGATTGTATACGGGTGGGGCACTAATGGAAACAGGGGAGGGACCTGTTCACTCAGTCATGACCAGAGATTAGCTACCTCTGGGGGGCAGCCCTAAGAAGGAGGTTATGTGGATCAGTAGAAAAGAGCCCTAAGTCTGTCATTATGGGTAACAATATATCAGTTAAGAGAAAATCGAATTGGGGGGAACCCCATCATTTGACCCCTAAGAAGGAGATGATAGACAAATATGGAATTGGGTGATCCGGTGTATGGTCGACTGGGATAAGTGTACTGCGAACAAATATTATAGGAAAGGGATTATTTGGAGCCTAAAAGCTTGGGAGGATCTCTCGGAGAATCACCGTGACAAGATGACACGGCTAAATGAAAGAAATGTTTGGGCCTCATGGGCTCTGGAGGCCTGGCAGCGATATTCAGATGTGCATGTGTTTACTTTAGACACAGAAAAGACCAAGAACATGAAATTTACATCAGGTGAGGTATTAAAACCACAGAAAGATGGCAATGATGATGAGAATAAACAGGAAGAAGACAAAGTATTGGAAATGGGTGCCTATGATGCCGCCCGTTCACTAATGGAAGAATGTTTAAATTCAGTGTCAAATCAGGGTGCACCTTGTGAGGCAACAGGGATCGGAGTGAAACTGTGAGTAAGGGAAGCTGGGACGGGGCTAGCTGTAAATCTATTGCTATAGTGTACTGGACGTGTGTAATGTATAAGTAGTACATATATACAGCACACACCTCCACTACACTCCAGCAATAGATTTACAATTCTCCCCTGCTAACATGAATAGGTTAAATCATGATCCATAGTACATAACATGTAGTTGTACTATGGATCATTTAAATGTCACCTGTCCCTTTAAGAAAAAGTATCGGTAATTAGTATCGGCAAGTACATGAGGGGAAGTACTTGTACTTGGGCCTGAAAAAGTGGTATCAGGACATACCTATTACTAATCATGCCTATCTTGGTAAAATTAAAACAGAAAATCTCTTGAGTACATATTTCACACGGTAAAAAGATTTAACTATCAAATATATGTTTCCTACTTCCATGTCTGGTGTACACTTGTCTTAACTGGTAATGTTCAGGAGAAGTAGGTGAAGTTCAGGAGATTCTTTGAAATAACCCAGTCAAAGTAAGAAGTATAAAATAAGCTTTATATTGTAACCTATAAATCAGGGCTTGAAAAAGTCAGCATGACCGGACAATAAAACAGAAAAACAGAGTCTGAGGCGCAACTGCCCTTGGGGTTGGACAGGTGAGAATAGGGGGAAATTTCATGGGTAGGGCATGCAGGGTTAATGCTGCCCGAGAAGCAATTACGTTGATATTTTTCCTCCGTGAAGGACGGACTCACACCCGAGCCATCGCAACTCAGCCCAGCAGTTCAGCAGCCCAGCAGCACGTCCCACACACAGGCACCGAACGGGAATCGCACCTCGACTCTGCAACTGAAGACCATGCACCCAGCCCCAGAGGAGACCGCCGGACATTGATGACTACACTTCCTCAAGAACCTCACGGTGAGTTGATATACGCACCACACACCGCTCAACTTGCCTCCATTTCATGTGCACCTTTTTTGTTTTTTGTTTCTCCCTCCACCCCTGATACCTAATACATCACGGAGGAAAAATATCAACGTAATTGCTTCTCAGGCAGCATTAACCCAGCATGCCCTAGCCCATGAAATTTCCCCCTATTCTCACCTGTTTTGCTCCCATACCAATTGGACACCCCGGTCCATATTGAACTGAAGCCGCACGCCACCCCCACCTCAATACCATCCTCCCCCACACAGCCCCCACTTAACCAAACTAATACTAAAAAAGTTCTGAACAACACAGAACCACCCATCCCCCACCCCCCAGGAGAGCGCCGTCACACAGGACTTGAATTCTTAATTTTTCTATGACCGGACTATAGCCTTGCAGTTTATATTAAAAAAATTTGGGGTCAGATAGAGCTTTCTTATCGAGAAGTGAGCGAACGCCGGTATGTGTTCCCTCACCTCCCGATCTACTGAGCCGACCTGTGACAGTCTCATTGCCACAGGTCGGCTAGAACTAGGAGGTGCGTGAAAAGCACTCACCTCATAGTTCTCCTTTAGGTTGGATTCCCACCTAGGTGATCGAAATATGCGCGTATGACGCGCATTTCAGGCCGCATCCGTTTCCTAATACTGTATCGCAGGTGAGGCTTTGCGGGCTCTGAATTCATTTCACAATTTTAGTACTCAAGTTGTGTTTATTTATTGATGTTTTCTTGTTATAAAATTAGTGTATGTATATAACTGTAATTGGCAAAAGTGATCAAACGACTTTTCACTTGTTATTCTTGATGTTACTATGATGTTAAAGTGGCATGAAATATGATCAACTACTTAGGATATATCGCGAGCTATTGCCCGCGATATACTGAGATCGCCGCAGCCAGGACGGATCCTGACATTACTGTGCTGATCCCCCCCCCAGCTGCGTGAGTGACAGCTGGCTCTGCCTACCTAGAAGCAGAGCCAGCTAAGCCCGCCCCCTCCCCCGTCCATTTCTCCGCTCAGCGCTGGAGGATCGGAGAGGGGCATCCCTGCGGGGAGAGGTGACTGACAGTTACCTCTCTCTGCAGGGAGATGATCGGAAAGTGAGCGAGTGACGGTATGTGTTCGCTCACTTCCCGATCAATAGAGCCGACGTGTGACAGTTTAATTGTCACACGTCGGCTCTAACTATGAGGATGAGTGAAATCAATCACTTCATAGTTCTCCTTTAAGCACCAGCAAATATCTCTGACCAATGGGGGTCAAGAGAAATCGGGGGCGGGGTTATGTTTATAGACTGATGGGTTTCTGCAACACAAGATATGTGGATGGGGCTTGTATATGGGCAGAGCAGAAGGGGGCCCCAGGTGTTCTCAGTCGTCCCCCCCCCCCCCACCTCCCCAGCTATGACTGAACACAGCTCCCAGGAATATACATGTGATGTGACATATTCATCATCTTTACTCCCCGGAATGATCATGATGGTCACTGAGACGTCTACAAATCCTGAATATTGGGGTCACCCCTGACATGTCCTAGATATGACGTCAGCCGTCCTCACACCTACATACCGCTTTCTGATGATGAATGGTTTATCTATATACGGAGAGCACCTACCGGTGACGTACTGACATACAAGAGGCAACGGGATGTATGCACGTACTTGCCATACTACAGAGAACATGTCTTATATCATGTGTATTGTGTCACTCACTGTGTCCTCCGGCACAGGAAGTCCCGAGTCCCCCATTGTAGCGCAGCCTCAGACCGGAGCGATGGGCAAAGCCGACTTCGTGTCTCCCCTCTTGTACCCGGACTGACACTGACACCAACAGCGCCTACTGGATGCGACAACCCTGACTCCTCTCATGGAGACCAGCGGGCGGGGCAAAGTGTGTAATCAAACAAGGAGGACTGACACTGTCACCAGCAGCGCCTACTGGATGAGACTGCTCTGGTCCCGCCCACCGAGACCAGGGGGCGGGGCACCGCGTGTAATCAAACAGAAGGACGGTGCTGTCGGTCAGAGTGACGAGGTTGCCGTGGTTCCCGGAGCGTTATGGACGGCTCTGGGATTTCAGGGTTGTCCCGGGTAGTACCGTAGTATGTCTCCGGAAATGAAGTGTAATATGAAATCCAGTCTCTGCATTTTATGACGTATTACTGATGAAGCGTTCAGTGACTAATTCCATTCTTCGGGTAGAACGGAGGCTAAGACTGTATTGTATGTATAGTTTAGTCAGTGAGGTTATAACTCATGTCAGCTTTTTTTTTTTTGCCATCGGTGTCTGATCGGGGAGCTTTCCCTTCACTTCCTGTCTGAGAGCCACAACAGGAAGTGAGATGAATTCTCTCCAAAGTGAGGAACATTCCTGGTGGTCAGCAAAGTTATCAGAACCTGAGGCCCCTTTGTAAGATTTCCCATCTAATCCTGTTCTGATGACAACCACATTTGTCTGACACTCAGTGACAACAGTCAACAGGACAAATATAGAGAGGGAGTCCCTCGATTTCTTCCGCCAACTATAGATCGCTATTCCTTCCGCCGACCCACCCCCCAACTATGGGCATTGTGCCTCCAACACACACCAACAATAGGTCACTATTCCTCCCAACAATGTTTCTCTATTCCTTCCACTGATGCAGACTACGGGACCTTATTCTTTCCAATGACACCAAAAGCATTATTCCTCTTCCCACTGACAGGTCACTTAAGAGTCCATTGAGGGGACACAGGAAGTCTTCTTTACCATTTAGGTTATATTCCTGCCTACGAGAGGATTGGACACTGGCCAGCAAACAAAAACAACAACTCTGTAGGTCAGCCTAGGATAACTCATCCCACCATCAGCATGCCTCAGTATAGTAGCAAAGAAATACTGACAAGCATGATCCTAAATACAGGAGGGGTGAGACCTCTGTCCCTCAATGGACTCCAAGGAAAGGATTTTACGGTAAGGAATTGCAGGCAGGCTTGTTATTGCAGAAGAGACATGCTGTGGCCATGCTGCAATAAAACAAGTTTATCTGCCTGCTTGCAATCGTCTTCAGTTCAGTATATATTCTTAGCACACCCCTGTATACATGCATACGAGTTCTTCCATTCCGCATTGGCCAACCTGGAAGACGCTTGGGAGATGTCAGCACTGGTGAGGTAAGTTCCACTTTAACGTGGTTCACTGATAGATATACAGGAGTTATAGATCACTTTTTCATAAAATCCTACAACAAAAACCAAATCCAGTAAACGTTGATGGGGTGTCCGGACCCATCAGGGTACATCCAAACCCCATAGGAGGAAGACCTAAGATAGTGGAATAGGATGATCTTTGCAGCTGTAGAAGCTATGAAAGATTTAATACAGCAGCCTAATCCTCTAGATGCAGGCAGTACATGATGCATCAATGCAAACTAAGGCCAGGGTATGAGGCAAACACTCAGCCAGTGAGGGTCAAAGTCACTGGACAGGCAGCAAGCATGGACTGAAGATTGGAGTTCTATGTGGCTCTTTACAAATCAAGAGCAGCAGCAGATGTTTTCTCAAAGCTGAATAGTCAGAACAAGAGCATCAGTGCTCAGTTCTTTAACATTAACCCCTTCTGCAGTAAAGCCTGATAGAGGGAATGATTAGGCTCATGGTGCACAGCCTGATCAGCCCATTTACAAAGTCATTTTGTGTGTGTGTGTGTGTGTACACACACACATATTATATGTATATATACATACATATAATAAGACCACTTTGCCCATGTGACACAAGACAGTTACAGTAACGTTGCAACACATTTAAATTGTTGCACAGACAATGCAGTCTTTTGTGGGTCCGCTCTCTCCACTGACTGCTAGAAATTCAAGC